TAAATAATTTTGTCTTTTTTTGGGAGGGGGGACGGGGGGCCGTATGACAGGAAGATGGGGATATGGAGAGGAGAGGGGGATACGGAGAGGAGGAGGAGGATGTGGACGAGGAGGACGAGGAGGACGAGGAGGACGAGGAGGACGAGGAGGACGAGGAGGACGAGGAGGATAGCGAGGACGAGGAGAAGGAGGAGTCAAGATGGACGGAGGGAAAAGAGGAAGGGCAGGAGGAGGAGGACGAGTGGGAGGAGGATGAGACATGGACGGCGAGGAAGGGGAGGACATGAGGAAGGGCAGGAGACGAGGAGGCGGAAGATGAGGAAGTACGAGGAGGAAGAGGAGACAAGGAGAATGAGGAAGGGCAGGAGGAGGAGGACGAATAGGAGGAGGACGAGTCGGAGGAGACGGAAAGGAGAAGGGAGGAGGAGACATAGAGGATGAGGAAGGGGAGGAGGAGCAGGGTGAGGCAACACTCCTGTAATTTTTTTTTCATCCCAATTATAATTTTGGTGGGGGGCCTCAAACGCACCGTTTTGACGCCGGCCTTCTTTTTTTTTTCTGAGGGGGGTTACGGGTCGTTCCCCGCACACGCCGTGCGCCCCACGGGATCGGTTGGGCGCGTGCGCCGCACGTAGAGAACCGCCCGCATGGCGTGCGCTTGCAAGTATGATACTCACTCATGCTCCTCCCCCTTGTGGTGTGGAGGTCCGAAGGACGACATTGATTACTTCCCGGTGGAAGGATGTACCACCCTTCACCCCTGCCTAAGTTAGCCTGTTCTACTGGGAATTTGGTCCTATCCTGTATTTGGTGCTAGAACCCTAAACCCTAGCTTAATACTTCTTTGTCTTTGGCCTGTCTCTGGTGGTCCTTTCTATATCATAGTCTGACAAGGTTGCGGGGGTTGATCTGAATTCTAGGTATCGCTTGAAAGGGGTCTGTTTTGGTTTCGGTAAAGGTATTCTTGGTAGGGAGGTGTTGAGGCTTAGGGGGTGGTGGGTTTGGGGGTTTTGGTTAGCTATGGTGTACTGGGTAGTGTAGGGAGGGTGTTGGGGGGGGTGGGGTAGTAGGAGATTGTGGTATGGAGACTGACGCTTGGGCGGGGGTTGGAAGGAGTGGGATTGATGGGGGGAGAGGGATCTGTATTGGTTCGGTAGTGGACTAGTGGTGGGTGGTTGGTTTGGGGTTGATTGTGTGTGGGATAGGGGGGGTTGTAGAGGCGGTTTGTACCTGTGTTATGGTTAGCCAATTTTTTAGAGTTAGTCTGTCGTTGTTTAATTGCGCCTAGTAGCCCATTGCCTAGTTTTGAGGTTGATAACTTTTGATTATTTGTTTTTTTTTTTGTTGAGGTCAGTTGGGAGCTTTTTAAGTTGTTTTTTTCCAGAGGACGTGGATTTCAGTGTCTATTAGTCGTTTGATGATGATGGGTGGGTTTTCTGAGGTGGTGAGTCGAACATCGAAGGTGTTGTCGCATCTGTTTTTCCATATGGCCCATAGGGTGCTTTTCTTGATTTGGGAGGAGAGGAAGGCTGCGAAGCCTTTGAGCGGGGGTGACTGTTTGAGGTTGAGGAATAGTGTGGCAGGGTTGATTAGAAGCACACCTTGCACCAGGAATCCTGTTCCAATCTGTTTTCTTGATTGCGTCAGTTGGCCAACTATTGATTTACTGGGACTGCTCTGAAGGCTATTAGCCATCTTCGGCTGGCTAGCTTAACCGGTCTACTGGAGAATATTGTAGCCCAGGGAAGTTTGATATGGGTGTTGGCTAGTTGTGGTTCCTCCTTTGTCCACCTATTGTGTACTGTATTGGATATTGATATGGGTTTGGTGAAGAGTCGATAACCTAGTTTGGGTGTGTAGTCAATTAGCTTACATGAGTTTGAGATGAGGGTGGAACCAGAAGAGGAGTTCCATGTCCATTCGGTAGGATCGATCTCTAGGTCACAAACGCCAGTGTTGTGATGCGGGGATCCCCGCGGCCCAAGCCGGGGTAGGGGTTTGAACCACCCCCGGCCCCGCCCCGCA